TTTCCTAGCTAAAAGGTAGGTTACTGATTTCCTACCTTATTATTCGCGAAATTACATGCTCGATTATTCAACGAATAGTTTGTTTAAATTTCGGACTTTTTAGAGTGTATTATAGCTGCTGTGGTGTGCGTAAATTCATTACGAAGGTGTGTACAAGCTACAAAATACACATCTGCTGTTTAATTTCACCCGTAGAATTGTGTAAAGCCGCTAACAAAAAGGATTTTTACACACGAAAATATGTAAACGAAAAAAAATACATATTCATCGTGTAAATTTACCAAAAAAATTTAAAAATAAACAAAAATATACTTGATTTATAGTCGCATTTTCAAACAGATTTTTTAGTGTGTAATTATAAGTATTTGGTAGCAGTGCTGTCATTTGCTAATTTTGGAGTGAAATGTACGCACATTATTAACATTTGTATACGTTTAATTATATTAACACGTGTTCGCAATACCTCCAGTTGAGTTATAATAAAAACGAATACCTACCTACTAAGTATTCAGGCAATTGGCCCGTGCCAGACACATGGACAAAATCAGATTCATTCGAATTTGTCCATTTGTGCTTCGTTGCCTTAATACGTTTAATTGCTTAAAAATATTTTTATGCTTTAAGATACACATCTGCTGTTAAGTCAGACAGTCAGAAAGGTTTAAATGCCATCCCAGTTAAAAATGTATTTTAACAAGCTTTCGGCAAAACCAAGACAAAGAAAAACTGAAAATAAAAAAAGTAGATTTTTTTTTTTACTAAAATCATAAGAAACCATCATATCAACGAGAGCAAAGACGCTTACCGCAATTTTAATTTTGTTGCTATGCCTTTGTAGTTGATTATGTATACATGTATGTATGTACATACATATGTATGTACAGAAATATATGTATGTAGATACATACGTGTGAAGTGCACTGCCACTCAGCAGAAAAGGTTCAACGTGATTTAGAACTTTAACTGTTAGATCTTGTTTTTGTAAAGGTGCAATTAAATTTTGTTGTTTTTCTGTGGTTGTTTTTCGTGTCGTTTGTATATGCGGGCCATCTGCACCAAACAGTTAAAGTTGAAAATCATCTTGAGCCCTATTTTTCTGAGTGGAAGTGTATGTACGTACATACATACATATCTACATATGTATTTGGATGTATGCATACTTACCAACTTCTTGAATCTAAAAGTGTATAAATGTTAGTCTTACATGTTGATGACCATTGCGAGATGCCGGCATTTACATACATGTGTTTTAATGTATGTATGTATGTGTGTATAAATATAAAACAAAAAAAAAAACATTTGTAGTACTTATTGTGTGTACCTATGTAAATAGTACCTATAACATTGCTTTACCAAAGAAACCGACGCTAATAGCCCAGTTATGCATACACTTAGCTTTGCATGAGAGTTATCACATAAGAATCTGTTAAAGGGGCTTTAAGTGTAAGCGGTTACCCAACGCATAGCACTTAACATGTAGAATTCTGTTGGGTTTTGATTTTTACGTCAAAACAGTATAGCAGTGCAAGTATCTATGTATGCATAACCGGGCCGTAAGCATCACCAAAATTTGCCGCAAACACAAAGAGAAAAAAGGGGGGCGTGAAAGAAACACTGAAAGCCGCTGATATGTAGATGATTTACTTGTAACTAGTTGCTTGTTCATAACTGTGAGCCGTGGTGAAAATGTGTAAATATTTACATATGTACAATAAATGTGTTTACTCATACTTACAATATGTGTATATGTACATATGTATGTATGTTTATGTATAATACAAGAAGCATCTGAGTTTTTCGATGGATGCTTTTATGAATGAGAATGCCTTGTGATTGATGAATGCAGCGCTAAAATATTGCTCACGTTTGTTCGTTTATATGTATGTGCAAACATAAATATGTATGTATGTATGTGCAGAATGGCTGTTCCAACGACATTTCTCTGCAGATTAAACGCCAACATTCCATGATGTACACATGAGTTAAAAGTATGTATGTATGTATGTATATCTGTATGTTTGTAAGCCAACAAGAGAGCCGGCCAATTTTTCTTCAATTGTTGCACTTGACGAATGGGCCGGGCCACACAATTGGTGGGAAAGACTTCATCACTTTGTCGAATGGGAACATATTTATAACTAACTAGTGCTTATAGTATATGTATGTATGTCTGTATGTGCAAAGACATGCCTTGATAACAAATACATAGATATACAAGCATAAATACATTCATATGTTCATACTCTATGTTTGCAGCGTTGCATTCGCATGACAATGCACCGCACTAACGAAACAAATTGCCAGCAATTATTTATATTTTTGAGTTGAATGGCATTGACATAATCTCAATATATGCATGTATTTTCACACCTGAACACCTACCTACCTACCTAACTTTTTTGTTCATTCATTCAGTCCTAACTCCACTACAAATCTTTATCAAGCCGACAATAGAGATGGATGGAGTATAATCGATAGTATCGATGTTTCTTATTTATTGCCGCTGTCGATAATCCTTGGGCTCTGTCGTATCTCCTTAGACTCTGTTATATGTATTTAAGACATATCTTCGCATATTTTTCAGGAGAGCAAAAAAACTGTTGTTGTCATTAGGAAAAAGTGTGAGAGTCGACACTTTGTTAAAGTCAGTATCCTCTGCTTCTAAGAAGACTAGAAATTTGACGGTTTGCCAACTTAGGCCCTTATTATGAGCTGCATTCGATTTTCGATCTTCGCTGGCTATCGAAGATCGAAGATCGAAAGTGAAATTCGTATTATGAGCTATGCAAGCGTGTCGAAATTTTCGTTGAGTATCGAATTTTCTGTCGAACAGAATTTTGCTTTCGATGGTATAGCGAAGTGTTAGAAAATTGTGAAAAATGTATGATTTTGTATATGTTTTCTTACATTTTGGCGGCTAGACATTAATTTTAAACAATTTTTATTAATTTCATGCAGTTCTAACATCTTGAATACTAAACACAAGCTCGAAAGGCTGGTTTTACTTGTGAAAGAAAATCCCAATACTCTGTTGGCACGATCTCTGAGAACAAAATCGTAGCGCTGTTGATAGTTTATTTTAAATAGATTTGGCTCACAAACGCCTCTTTAGATGGTCGGAACTTTTTAATGAATCTGTAGACAAATTTCTTAAATATATTTTATATCAAAATATATTCGAAAGACTAATAAACTTAAACTCTCTTAAACATTTGCTACTCCTGGCCAGTTTACTAAGCTCTCATCCTCTGACGAATCGTTGAACCAGAACTCGTTATACTCATTTTACCACGTTTTTATAAACTTGCTTTCTTTTTTACTTCATTTTAATTAGAACAAATTTACATAAATATGTATAAGCACACTATTTAGTTTGCTCGATTTGTAAACAAAGCTTCTCAGCGGTGAAAAATATACTATTGTGAACAACCTAAACGAGCGAAATTCACAATAGCGCTATTCTTCATCGAATGAGTGCCATAATACCAAATGCAAATTCGTTCGCTCAGCACTTTCGACCACAGTCGAAAATCGAATGCAAATCATAATAGGGGCCTTACTTATCATTCTAAACGCAAGCGCAATGTATCGTTAAGCTGCCTTTACATGACTCGATTTTTTGACAGGCGATAATCGCCTGCAAAAGTTGACTTACTGTCTACTTTGAGGCAAGCGATTTTTCCAGAGCAATGTTGAATCGCCTGGCAAATCGCCTCATGTAAAGGCAGCTTAATTGAATCAGCATTCGGTAGACTGACATGGTAGTGACGATATGTAGTATGATATAGGGATGCAGAAAAAATATCAATGCATCGGAAACATCGATGTCTGATATTCGATCTATCGAATAAAACCGATGTGTTGGACCTTCCAATATATATCGATATATCGGTGTATTTTTTTCGATGCATCGACTTTTGTGTGCAATGTGCACTGTACAAATTAAAATTATTTTGTATGCTTCCAAGCTCTTTGCTCTAGTAACTATTCTAAATGTGCAGTTATTTGCACTAATTAATTGCTAGTTTATAAAGTGATGTAAATATGTACTTCAGTACCTTCCGGAAACTTTTTTCGAAAGCTTCTCAAAAAAAAAACTGGGATTTGTAACTATTTAAATCAATGAATACATTTCACTGTGAGTTAATACCTAAACATTTATCGAAGCTCCGATTGTTTCACTTTCATGTTGTATAATATTTTTAATTGAAAGAAACTGTTGCTATTTTCATTCGATGCATCGAAAATATTGATGTTTTTATACGATATATCGATATGAATCGATGCATTTTTTTGACTTGCATCCCTAGTATGATAATTAATGTACACCCTGAAAAAAAAAAAAAAACAATGCAATGGACCTGGCAAGTGAAAAAACTGCTTCGGACTTTGCGACGTCTACTGAAGCTGCCACGTAAAAATTCGGTGTTAGATTTGTGCTGGGAGGGAGACTCCATCGCCAATTACTGCCGCTCAACTCGCCCAATCAAGTACTACACGCAGGAGGATTATTTATTTATTAGTTTAAAAAAGGACTGCAATGAAATTAATGCACAGATCCTATTATTTTGAGCAATTCAATTATATGTTCTTCCCATTTCGTGATTGTTTTTGCGATTGTTTGTTTGCGAATTTAACCGACTTTAACGCTGAATGTATGTATGTATAAAAACATGTTGCTGTTAATCTTTACTAGATAGATACTCCCAACAGTTAAAATCATGTTGAACTTATGCTGCTGAGTAGCAGTGTACTATCGACGATATTTGTTTGTATCTACGGGTAACAAAATAATATTAAAAACTATTGTTTTTTTTATAACTTTAGGGTTGTACATAGAAAATATAGAATATAGAAATAGCAAATAATAACTTACAGATTTATATATGTACATACATACTTGTGTATGTATTTTCCAGAAATGTACAAACATATGTGTGTATATAAAGTACATTTCCAAAAGCTCTTTTAGTACAAATATTTGATGTATGTCTTTACAGAATTCTCGAGCTTCGAAAGGAAAAATCTCGGGATGCAGCGAGATCACGGCGGGGAAAGGAAAATTATGAATTCTACGAGCTGGCGAAAATGCTCCCTCTACCTGCGGCTATCACTAGCCAGTTGGATAAGGCTTCCATTATAAGACTGACAATAAGTTATCTCAAACTAAGAGATTTCTCTGGGCAGGGTGATCCACCATGGAGCCGTGAACAGTCGAGCAGTAGCAAATTGAAAAGTAAGTTTAAGACCTAATATGGCTAAAAAAAAAAAAAATTAAAGATTTTTCTATGAAAAGCTCGTAGGCGAAGAAATAAGAACCATAAGATATCTTTTAAAAACAAGGAGGAAAATTTTTAGTTAAATTTTTTACTAGAAAACATTACATAACACACACATTTTCTTTTTAATTGCTTAAACGAATATCTTCCTAATTGTTTTAGAGAATTATGTATTTGAATTTACCAGCAGTACTTTTTCTACTCCATAGCATAGTGCCCGTATGGCGACGACCTTCACAGCCAAATAGGTAGAGAGCTGGAAGCTACCAGTGGCAGCGAAGACTTATTTTTATTTTTTAGCATTCAATTAAATATGTAGGTAGGTAACCTAAACCGAGCAAGGGAATTTCTTATTTTCCACCTTCGATTTGCCACTTCTCTACTTGTTATGTTTGTTGTGTTCCGTTCGTTTCGCCACTCGCTAACTGTTGGCGAATCGATAGCGGCTGTTGATTTTACTCCTCAATAGGGTTCTCCTTCTTAATACGAAAATAATGTCTTCTTGAAGAAAATCCATATATCCATATAGATTTCTTATTGATTTCGTGTAGCTTATTTTTAAATAGGGAACTACTATTTCGCAATGAAGTAAAAGTTGTGATGTAATGGACCAAAAAATACTCACAATTAATTTTGTTACAAACTCTTTTTCGCAGGCGCTGCAATTCGACGTAGTCCCGCCGTGGATTTATTCGAGCAACATCAAGGCACTCACATTTTACAGGTCAGTAGTATTACAAATCAATAACATATAACCATATTGCACACGACGTTTTTCAAAAGCGTTTTAATTAACACGATCTTGAACATACTTTCGCTACAAGACATTGCTGAGCACTTTAGGCAAAAATTCTAACACATTTACACGCTTGCGACGAAAACCCGCTTTTTTAGAATTTTGATTGGTAATCTGTGTGAAAGATGGCAACTTTTGGTCAATATCTTAGGCTCGCCCAAGTCCATCAAAGTTCAAGTGATACAAAAAATTTGTTCTTAGCTCACTTCGATTATCTACAAAAAAGGTCCATATACGCAATTATGTAGAACTAATACTTTCGAAGATACTTGCAATTTTATTAAAAAAAAAAAGTATTAATTAATGTATTTATTAATTTTTTTTTTTTGAGCACATTGAACTTTAATGGACTTGGGCGAGCCTTGACCAAAAATTGTCATCTTTCACACAGATTGTTTTTAGAGCATACTGAACCATAATTTTGCTATTACCAATCAAAATTCTAAAAAAGCGGGGTTTTCGGCCCACGCTAATATACACACATAAATACATAAATTTTATTTTTTGTTATTAACAAACCTAGCAAATATCCGCCGGCGTGAAGCCATATTAAACAGGTAGTAGCATTAGAGCAAAAACAACATTTACTTCTATTTTGTTGTTGCTTCTGGTGTCTAAAGTGTCAAAAAATATAAAGTTTTTTTTTTTAATGTCATAGTAGGCCATGTTAAATGTAAACGAAAATTTAAAAAAAAAAATTAAATTAAATTGGGGCAACTTGCTTTCTTGCTAAATCTGTTTGCATGTGTTTCTTTGCTTACCCAACGTTCCAAAAGATGGTTTTCAATCTCTTCTTTTTATGAAAAAATGTTTTACATGCAAATACTTTTTGACGATTTTAAGAAAAAATAAAAAAAAACTATACATATTTGACACTTTAGAGACCAAATAATTTGAAAAAAAAAATCAGCTGATCTGCTCATATGCCAAGCCCGGCACCTTAAAAAATAAAATAGGTTTGAAAAGCTTTATGAAGTGAGATTTTCAAGATAAATTTTCGATTTATGAAACAAATTTTATTTTTTATGAATAGGGGTGTTAGTTAATATGTCGTAGGTGATGCTTCAAAACGTTCTATGTCACTTATGACCTCTGGTGGTTAATGGATCTGTTATCTGTATCTGATCGCTTCATCAGCCAAAGGTAGACAGTTTTGTCATTCGTTTATTAGGGTGTAATGATTTACAGATGCATTCCGGTGCACGTAAGAGACCATCTAAGTGTCAAGGATGCTAATAGACATAGACCGTTTTGCAGTATCACCGACGATATTTTCGAAAGTATTTAATCTTGGGCATGTAATTTATAATCCCATAACTAGATTCGACATATAGTGCACTTTCTTTAAGGGTATTTTAATTCTGTATTTACTTTACCTTATCTTCTTCTTCTTATTTGGCACTACAACCGTATGTCGGTTTGGGCCGAGAACAAAAAACTTCCCCAGTCGCCTCTCTCATTTTCAGATCTGCGCCAGCTGTTCATCTCAGGTGCGGACAGATCCTTCCATTGCATTCGTGGGCGCCCTTGCTTTCGTTGTCCACCCATGGGAGTCGAAGGATCTTTTCATCGGAGCGTCGTCATCCATACGTACAACATGTCCAAGTCAGCGCAATCGTATTTTTATGCGCTTAACTATGTCCATGTCGTTAAAAAGCTCGTAGAGTTCGTCATTCCATCTTCTTCGAGACGCGTCGCCCACGCCAACTGGGCCATAGATCTTGTGTAGTATAGTTCTCTCGAAGGCACCCAAAGCCTTCTCACCTTTGTTAGACATCGTCCATGTTCGTGCGGCATATAAAAGAACGGGCATGATGAGAGATTTGTAGAGCGTGATTTTTGTTCGTCGTGCTTTTCAATTGCCCACCGAGCCCAAAGTAACACCTTCACTTCACAGTATTCTTCACTTTATTTTCAGACTGACATTATTGGTGATGATTTTGCGGGATCCTAAGTAAACAAAGTCCTTCACTACCTCAAAGTTATGACTGCCAACTGTGACATGTGCCCCAATACGCGAAGACATTTTATGTGTTGGCAGGATGTACTTTGTCTTGTTTTCGTTCACTGCTAGACCAACCTCGTTAGGTACTTTTTCTAAGCTGCAAAGTGCTGCGATGACATCCCTGGGTTTCAGGCCCTGTTTCCTTCATGATTTATATATTGCAAACAAATCTATATTTTACGCTATTTCCTCGCATAATTACTCATTTCCATTGGTTTTGGTATCTAAATTCCGTTAATTAATCACATGCTTCTTGCCAGATGCCAACAGGGTTGCTTAAGTAGCTAAAAGGGAATTTTACCCGAGTTGAGCGTTCTTTTGTCACTCGTTTACAAAAAAAAATGCACCTAATAAAGCGGCGCTAGCGTCGAGCAAATGGAATTTTCACTTTTGAGAGGGCGTTACGTGTTGAAGTTGGTTTCAGAGGACGGAAAGAAAGAGATGGGACAAAAAGTGAAAGAGGAAACATGAAAACGCAAAAAATTACGACGCGTTTATTTGGGTGTAGAGCGCGGTGACACTCGTTGGCACTGGAAAACGCAACGCTTTGCGTCCAATTTAGGGACGGCAGTAGGTTGTCTTCCCTCTATGCTCTATGAATGGTTTGAGACAGGGCGCCAGTGTTGCCACACATGGGCTTTTGCTACCAAAACTGGTAGGTTTTTTTTTCATTTGGTAGGTTGGTAGCCTTGATTGGATTTTGTTAGGTTCCGTCGCAATGAGTACTAGTTGTTTGCGAAAAATAAAAAATATGTATCTCCAAACATTTTAGCAACGTTTTTTCAATGAATATTTCACCGGTGCGTTCGTATAACGGGGGCCGCAAACATATAAATATACCTCATTTTTAAGTACAAACGTTATTATTGCCGATACACATACTTTATGGCATACTTGGACCAAGATTTCAGAAGAGTATGTCAATGGGCTTGTACCCAACCATATTCCAGGCGCAGCTCTTCGCAATTGAAGTCTGTGGTCGCGAATGTCATCGTAGACGGCAAATGAGAATCGCTTAAAACGGCATCAAGGCTTGTGAACTCTTGAACCTCCTGGGAGCCCACAATAGCGTAACGCTGTGGTGAGTTCCGGGACATGGAGGGTTTGAAGGGTTCGAAGGCAACAACAGGGCTGACTGACTCGCAAAACGTGGAGACCAAAATCGCTTGCATGATCCCGAGCAATTCAGTGGTACATCTAAAGGATACACTGCAGAACTACCTAGGAGCTAGCTGGGAATAATCTCAGATTGCTGCCCACTGGCGGAAGTCAAAGCGAATAAGACAATCAAAGAGATTCATAGCTCCTACCAGGAGGAATTCCGAAAGACTCCTTGAACTTAAAATTCTTACTGGCTACCTGACAGCACGCTGCAAGTTAACATACCATTTAAATTAGATGGGTCTTTCTGTAGAGGCGGACTGTAGGTTTTATGGGCTGTGGAGGAAACCACACATTTCGTTTTCACCAGGTTGAAAGGCACGTTGAATAGGTAACAGGAGCAGGGTTGCAATTTTGATTTTCTTCATTCGAAGTGGTCCATGGATTGTCATTTTTGTTTACATTTTATTCTGCAATGTCAAATTTTGTGCATCAGCAATGGTGAGATTAGATATTAGCTAAAAATTAAGGAAAACAGAATTATTATATTATGTTGAAATAGTAATAAGTCTGGACCAACGTGTATGTATGTATGTATATTGTTTTGCCTTCCTTCCAGTCCCTCGATGGATTCGCATTAGCCGTTGCTGCAGATGGTCGATTTTTATACATATCGGAAACGGTCTCTATTTACTTGGGTCTGTCTCAGGTGGAAATGACAGGAAGTAGCATATTCGACTACGTTCATCAGGGCGACCATGCGGAAATTGCCGATCAACTGGGATTAAGCTTAACTAACGGCGGCATTGCTGGTGGTGGTAATGGCAACGGCACAACTGGCCTGGCGTCGCCCACTTCAGGTGCGTCGGACGACGGCATTGGCACTCACGGCACGAATAACCCCGACGGTAAGTTCGACAAAAGGTCCTCTATAAGGCACTTCCGAGTGAATTTCAACCCCATTCAATTTGAATTCAATGTGACTTTGGATGAAATTCATTCGGAAGTGAGTTGCAGAACCTGCCCGCATATGTACATATGTACATAAGTAAACACAAATACAAATGCTTGCATGTACATATGTATAGTACATTAGTGTGCGCTTTATTTGTATGGAAAAATTGTTTTTAAGCTGCAAAGCAAAACTCATTTGTTCATAAAAGGTGCTCTAGGAAAAATTTTCTAATCTAACGGAAAGATGAGCCCCAGATTTCCAAAAGTTGGTTGACACATAAAGCACAAACTAATGTAGATGCAAACTTGTGTGAACTTGCATACTTAAAATGTTCAACAAGGTGTCCCAGAATTTTTCCCTAGGTAGGTACATAAATGTAGCTATATACATATGTACTCGACGATGAATTTGAACTAAGAATTTGTACCGGGATTGCCACACCGTTAATCACAACTCAAGAGCTCAATTGTAATAATTAAGATTTTACGTTTTTGTTGAATTCTATTGAAGGGACATTTCTTTTTTTTGTTAAAAGTTTCTTACCGAATTCACCTCACTGAAATCCGTACCCCCCAAATCCTCTTGCTTTCTACTTTAAAGTCCGGATCAAGGTTGCATGTGACCCTTACTGACGATTAGCGAGACACGGCTTCTTATAAATCCCAGTTGTTCTAGTCGGAGCCATTTGACCCTACCCAATTACAGCGCACCTCTGCCTGGACGGACAACCCTCTTTTTCCGCCAGTCGTGGGACCAAATATGGATACAAAACGAAAAGCGCTCCTAAAAAAA